ATTAGAACTTCATTCAATAGCCTCAAAGTTGCAATTCAGTAAAATTTGAAAAATGCATCTATCCTAAAGTGAGAATAATGAATATTGACAGGAATCCTAATGGCAAGGATAACAATTGCACTTATCAAAAACAAAACATAAGTACCTCCCGGCCTTGTTTATTAATCTCTTTCACTCCTTTCCTGAAAAAAATCATGGCTCCACGTGGGCCTCGAAGTGACTTGTGAGTTGTGGTGGTTACAACATCAGCATATTCAAAGGGTGAAGGGATGACACCAGCTGCAACCAATCCACTTATATGTGCCATATCTGCCAACATTATAGCTTTTTGTTTATCACAGACCTGTCAAAAGGCTTAGCAAATGTGAGCCTTGGACCATCCAAGATGTGGCTTGAGATCAAGACCACAACTTTCCATACAATTTAAGTGCTCATTTTGATACACATGAAAGTCGATGAATTTACCTTGCGTATACGTGCATAATCATATAGACGTGCATAAGCACTAGCACCAGCAACAATTAACTTAGGTCGGAAAAGAGCAGCACTTCTCTCCATCTGCCATTTGTAGTTCAACGCTTAGTAACATGACTTGCAAAGTATTATTAATGGCCCAATTTCCACCCAATGGAATTATATGACTAATCCAGTAAGTTCAAAATTGCAGAATACCTGGTCATAGTCAATATAGCCAGTGCTCTCATCCAATCTATATGGCATTGTCTCAAAAAATATAGACACTGCAGAGATCTTTTTGGTATCAGTCTGCACAATCACGCAATAGAAGTCTTTTTAATTGTTACTTAATGTTTCAACATGTTACCAATATTTGTTGATAAAAATAGCAAACTGCTAATAAGGAACTGGTTGTGACACCTTGACAGATTGATGTGGAATATATATTACAGAACTAGAAAAATAATAGTAATTAAAAAATATAAAAATAAATAAAAGATACAGAGGCTTATATCAACAGAGAGTTCTCCAGAAAGTTAAAGGCACCTGGTAACCATGAGAGAGATGTCCACCGTGAGGAAGATCAAGTGCCATAATCCTATCATGAGGTTTTAACAATGCGGTATAAACTTGAAAGTTGGATGGAGAGCCAGATAAAGATTGGACGTTCACTGCAATAAAATGGGATATTCAATTTTAAAAAATTGTTAATCCCGAGAGAGCTTCCCAGTTAAAACATTTCTGGCCAATGCATACGTGAACCTTTCTCCATTAACCAATGGCCGTATGGCATTAGATAAAACATATATGCTAGCTAGTGATTCTAGACACTCCTTGTTACCACATAACTATTTTAAATACCTCCCCATTTTTCTGGATCCAAATGAAATGCTTCCAGAGCACGTTTTTGGCACAAGGATTCGGCCATGTCAATGTACCTACAATGTACAAATAATGAAATTAATAGGCTATGGGCATCAAATAACAAGAAGAAATTAGTTTTGAAGAAAGCATAAAACCAATGATGGCTCGCACGTATCAAAGTGAGCATAGCTCAGTTGATATAAAGTATACCCTCAACCAAAAGGTCTGAAGTTGGAATTCCTCCACCTTATGTTGAACTCAAAAGAAAAAAAAAAGATGGCTTCCACATACTCGTTTCCCCCGTAGTATCTAGCCCCAGGATAACCTTCGCTATATTTGTTAGTCATAACAGATCCAACTGCTTGCATCACGGAAACGGAGGTGAAGTTCTCAGATGGTATGAGTTCCAGGCCCTTGAGGAAAGGAAAAAAAAAAAAAATGGTTTCCATCCAAAGTTGAACTTCAAAGAGAAATTAAACAATTCACCCTACTATATATGAAAACGCCATCTAACACAAACTGCAATTAACAAGAGAGAAAATATTTACGTAAGTTGTTAACAGGAAGCCCGAGAAAAAACAAATTCTTCAAATGGATTGAATTTAGAGTTCAGCGAGGCTTTCAATGAAATGGACTCGGAAAATACTAGTACCACATGCTATCATTTCATCCCAATCAAGCCGATTTTAATTGAATGTATGTTCAATGTTGCTTGAACAAATAAGTATCAAATTCTTCAACCAATTAAAATAAAATAAGAACTGCCAACAAAATGCACACAACACAGTTAAACAGAGAAACTGTTGTACCTTCCATTGTCTGGCCTTTTCGAGTTCAATTATGTTCGCGATTTCCGGATCAATTACCTCGAGCGGATCATTCAATTGTTTAGGCCACTGTAAAATATGCTACCATAAGCTAATTTCAGACGTGAAATGCGAGTATAGACAGAAAAAGAAGAAAAAGAAGTATTGAATTACCGGAACGCGTGGTCTCTCCTTGTCATAGACAGCTTCGTTGGGCAAAGAAGACTAAGAGAACAACAAAACCAATGAAACAATTAACGATTAGAACTAGCCGACTGCGAATTATACAGTAATCCATATAGATGATCTCTTCTGTTTCTTGATTGTGCAACATGAGAGAACGCAGGGGTAACTGATCTTAATTTACAAAACTGAAACCGCTCTCTCTCGTAGTAGTAGTGAAGTGAGGAGCTCAGACATGCATTATGCGGAGAGCCAAAGAATAATATAAAGAAAAGGAAACAGCAATAAAGAGAATAAGAAAGAGACCAGATAACAGAAAGAGCCGCCATGGAGGAGGTGACGAACGGGCCTGTCAATGGAAGAAGAAAGCCTTCGTAGCGCCATTGCCAGAGCCATATTCTCTCTGGTTTGTTTTATGAGGTCAGAGGAATTTTAGCATTTGAGGTAGTCCGTTTCTTCTTTTATTCCCCTCCAGTTATCTTCTTCTCTCCCATCATTGCCTCACACTTCCAAACACACAGGCTGCAAATTTAATATATTTTTTTTTTAATTAAGAAAAAAACTTCCTATATCTCTAATTTTCTAATTTTTAAATATAAATGTTAAATCCATCTACTTAGATTAGTACCTAAAATTGACTAATCAAGTTAATTCTTAAATTTTACAATAAAATAACAACTTATGATATGATTTGACCCTTTAATCATACAATTCTTAAAAGATTATACACAGTTTTCATTTTTCTAATATATATGCGCGCACATTCAAAATTAACCGCATAAATCACATCCAGACTTGGAACATTTCCAAGCCACAAAATAGTATATATAATTTTTGAAAATATATACATATTTATTTATTTGTGAACAAGCCACAAAATAAATAAATAAATAAATAAATAATCAACTTAGGCCATAGATACCATAAATGTTGTTTAAAGCATGAAAATAACAAAATTGTCGCATCAACTTCCATAATATTCAAGGAACAATACTAATACACTTCCGATGCCGTTCAGTTTCTCCCTACAAAATTTCAGTTCGAACATTATTATCCTCGTCATTAATTAGTTCAAAATCAATAATATTGCTTTTTTTTTTTTCGTTTGAGTGGACTATGACCTATTGTTGCTTAGAAATACGACAACTAACAAATCCCGCAGGAAGTGTGTCGGGTGCGACCGGCGAAGATGAGGTTGTTATCACACTCACATGGTTAAACTATTATACGACCTCTGCGCATTCCCAATTAATTAAATCTGTACTAATAAGAAGAAAAAAAATGCAACAAAATACTGTTTTTGAATAATTTTAATTTAGATAAAAAGAAAATGCAACAACATAATTAAAACCAGCCCCATAGTATAATTTATTTAATTTTGGAAATCTTATTTTCTAACCCAAACTAAACTACACATGAAGCTGTGGAGTACTCACCTACTTGACTTCTGCCGTCAATGATATCATTAGTAAATAAAGGCAAGCCAGCTATTCAAATCGATCATGCCATTATCATTACTTAACTTAAATGGGGAATAAAAGTTCATACAATATTAATTAAACCATGGCAAACAAAACATTTGTATATATTTATCCTATTCATCCTTTTCTTATATGATACGTCAGTGCATATAATATAATTAATTATTTAATTTTCTTGTTCTTTTAAATAACTAATAATTTGTCCTTACAACCAATTTTATGTCTAATGATGCATCATTATTTGATGAAAAACTTATAAATTTGTATAACTTATTAAAATGAATACCAGGTGGAGGATTTGAATTAAAATATAAATTTAGTTTATGAATTTTAAAATATTTGTCTATTTAATTTTTAAAAAATTAGGGACATAAATTTATATTTATATTTTATAGACAAAATAAGGTGTAAAGATGTATTAGAGGTGCGTGATTATATTAAATAGATTAGGAAATTATTTGAAGAGTATTATAAAATGACATCCAATAATGAAGTTAGGCCCATAAAGTAGGTGAAACAAACAGAATAAAAGTGTGATGGGAGGCTGAGGCATACATACAGTCAAGTGGATCTCACCTTTCTCTTTCATCAAAATCCTTCTTGATGCAGCTGCTAAACAAGCCCTTCATTCAAATCTGATCCTTCTTCTTTTCTTTTCCTTTTCCTTTCATCGCCGATATGGACAGGGATCTTGGCCGCCGTCGGCTCCCGTACCTTTCCGGCTGCGTTGTCGCTTCTCCGGCATGCTTTCCGGTCCACGAAGGCGTCGAGTACTCGCGCATCCACAGCGGCAAAAGAAGCGGCTGGAGGTGGCGATATCTTCTGAGGAGGTGGGTGAAGGAGAGCATGAGCACATACGGGTCCAAATCTCTGTCTTTCCAATACGACGCCGTTAGCTATTCGCAGAATTTCGACGAGGGAAGCCATTATTACGAGAGCAATCGAGAAAATGAGATTCGGATTTCGAGATGAACTGTGGATTTTAATTGCAATTTTTTGTTCAACAAAATGATCCCTCCTTAATTTTGAATGTATTGAGATTTATGAATGAGTGGGGATCAGAGTTTGTTTACCCGTTTCATAATGCAAATGCGAAAAACAATAAAATAAGAGGAAAATAAATAAAAGAACAAACAAAATAGCTTTAAAATTTAAAATTTACAAGTCAAAAGTTTGAGAAGTTAAATTGGAAGAGACGACATCCAAATTACAGACCAGTAATTACCTTAAACTTTATCCATAAACCAACCAACCAACCAAACACAACCATTTCCCTCTCCCATTCTTTCATTCTCTGTCTTTATTTCTCAAACCTTAAGAACACCGATCTTTTTACGTATAATTCCTGTACCTTTCTTATAATTGGGTCTCTGTGCGGCGCGTTGATGGGTTAGTTAACTAAAATTAAGCTCATTGCTCCCGCGGGCTGAGCTGAAGGTGGATTGGCACACGCAGCCCGGCGTCGCCTCCAATTGCGTACGGAATCAACGGGTTTCCGGTGGCCACGCTCATCTCTAATCTTGAATCATGCCCGTAAACCTGCAGAGATTAAGAACCAATTATCACAATGATTTATGGAATTAATTGGTTGAGGCTTTGTTGGAGAGAGATACCTTTCTGTGCAATTCAATGTTTTCTTGACAAAAGAGGTTTACTTTATTGGCCAGCTCTACATTTTGTTGGTGCATCAGAATTCCCTGCAAATGGTAAGGGAGAAGAACAACCCAAGTTTTGTTACTCGTTTAAGGCTCTCATGAAAACCAACATTTTTTTTTTTTTTTTTTTACCTTTCTGTTCAATTCTTTTATTTCATCGTTTAATATCTGTTCCTGCTTGCAACACAGAAATTGGTATTAATATTAAACCCACCTCAATTTCATATGATTTAAGGATGCAAAAAATGGGTTGTTACCTAATTAATAAGTAAATAAATATCTGACCTTTTTAATTCGGATGCTTTGTAAGCTGAACTCTAATTGGCTCTCAAGGCTGTTTAGGTCTTTAATTGATAAACCATAGAGTTGCTCCCCCATTAATTTCCTGTATACAAAAAAAATATTAATTACATTAAACATTTTTAAGCATTTGTTACAACATAATTAATTATTCAATACAATAACCAAATTTTGTAATAAGAAGCTAATTAATTACCTATTATTCTCCTGCAAGTTAAGTAGTTGTTGCCTTAGAGCTGATACTTCCTTCTGCCATAACTTTCAATGTAACACAATAATCAAAGGTTTAGTTTTATGTATAATATATCAATAATTTTCAAAATTTCTAATATGTTAAAATTCAAAATTTAAAGCACAAACTAAATTTATAATTTAACCAACTAATCCTCTAGAACAATTATCAAATAAACTTGGAAGATTTTTGAGAAATTATTGGAGTAGACCATCACAATATAACTCATAGATTTAAACCATTAGATAAGTAATTGGAATCTTGTATATATTAGTTATTAATTGTGGGCACAAATTTCAAATCTGTATCTAAAGATTATAATTTTTCAAGAAGGAACCGAGTAAATCCTACACAGAATGGAGAAAAGAGAGCAAGAAGAAGTTGGATTGATGGTGGATGTATTTATATGTATACCTTGACATCAGAAATTGGATTCAACAGCAGTTCATCTTCCTCCTTTCGTCTATTATATTTCTCAATTACCGACTCTATGCTGACCAAAACAAATCACAAACTAACATTTAAATTTATTTCCTCTGGATTTCTTAATAAGTAGAACTCAAATACAGATAATGAGATGATTTTGAAGTAAGAAACAAAAAGAGGGCGAACCTAGTGCTTGCAAATTCATACTGTTTGCCGGAGCTGGAGAAGATAATGAGAGCAAGTTCGGCATCGCAGAGAATAGAGAGCTCTTTAGCCTTTTTAATGAGTCCCTTCCTCCTCTTGGAGAAGGTCACTTGTCTGCTCGCTGAATTATCGATCCTTCTTATCACAATCTTCCCTCGACCCATCTTAGGGTTTCTTCGCCAATTCCCTGACATCTCAACTCATTCATTTATACCCTCAAATAATCAAAACCACCATCAACGAAATAAGCTTTATACCTTTTAATTTCCAAACACCTTCCTCCTCCGCCCAACTGGGTTATCTTCTTCTTCTTCTTCTTCTTCTTCTTCTTCTTCTTTCCCCCATCAGGAGATTTTATGATGGAAAAAAAAAGGTGCAATATAATTGATATATTAAACTATTCTACCATTTGTTTCTACTTCGATAAATGAAAAATATCTAATATAATATTATTAAAATTATGTTTTTTTTTTTTTTTAATTATTGTATTTTTTGACTCGAGAGTGGATGATTTGATTATGAATAAATTGTTTTTTTTTTTTTTTTTGTAATATAGCTTAAAGTCGTAAGTAGTGTGTGATGTTGTTGGAATATGATACCTTGTGCATAAATATTTAGCATATGTTTTGAATTTGTTCGAAAGATTAGTCGGCAACAGCTGTTTTAAGTGATTAATTAGTTCTAGTAATATGCGTATATTTGCATTTAGAACATGAGATTACAATGTTGAATTAAAGAAAAAGAGGTGATTAAATAGAGAAAGTCATATAATATTTCCACTTGGGGTGAGGATGAAGGTTGGGGGTCAGAAATTGGTCGGTATAGCAAATGGTATTGGAGGCAGCTGTGGAGTGTCAGGCGCAACAGGACTGAGTTGTTTTTGGAACTTGAAAGGTTACCCCCCAAAAAATGGTGTGGTTTTTGAAACTTTAAAGTTTCCAAAAATGGAAAGTTTAATGAAATGAGAATGGGAGAATTTGATACCACAATTTGGAACTTGGAATATTACCAAAAACTGGACCCTTTTTGGAACTTGGAAGTTACTATTTGGGGAAAGTAAAGTAAAGTAAAGCAATTAATACAGATTTCATTTTGATGTAATTAAGTTTAAATTTAAAAAAAAAAAAAATTAAAATTTTTAGAAAATTAGAGGATGTTTGTTTAAAAAATGGCATAGTTATTAAGAGGGAGGGAGGAATATAGAATGATGGAGGGTTGTGGTGAGTGTGATCGAACTCGAATTCCTATTGGGTGAGAGCACGTGAAGATGATTTGGTTTGGCCAATAAGATTCGGTGTGTGGCTGAAAGTTCCAATGAGGGCCTGTGGATTAAGGAGACCCAAATTCAAATTCCTCATTAAAATACTCCCAATTTGCTGCTTCTATCGGAGAGCCCAGACAGGTGTCAATCATCAACAAATCATATAACACTCTAACCCAACAATATCAACTTCTGGATTTTTGTGCTCGTATATACATGTATTTTTTTTTATTTTCCCTTTTCCTTTTCCAGATGTGCACGTGACGCTTCTTTTTAATCATAACTCTCATAGGGACAGATCCATAGTTGTGTACAGTGGAGTGAGGCTTCTATATTAATTTAGTATTCAATGTCTATTTCATCCACTTGTCAAAATGTTTTAATTTCGTTTTCATTTTAATATTGAAATCAAGACTAATATTGTAGTGTTTACCAACTAGGAAGAAGAACTCAAAGGCTCGAAGTCAGCGAGCCATTAAGGACGAGGTGTGCAACTGTGCTTTTGCGAGCCTGCGAGGAGGATAGCAATTGTGCATGTGTGTCTTGTCTGAGCTTACAAGGAGGAGCATTGTGGCAGCCGAAAGAAGGAAGAACGAATCATTGTACTACTTGGTGCGCTGGGTAGTGGGCCGCTGGCCGAGAAAGAACCAGAACCCACGGGTTGGGCCTAGCTCTCTTCTTTTTTCTCTTTTTTTAGTGTATTTGGTTTGGGTTGGGTTGACCCGGTTCTTCGCACATTAAACCCATATTCAACCCAAACTGGATTGGGCCCTTTCCAGAGTCTATGTTTCAAAATAATCAAGATTTAAAAATAAATAAATAAATAAAAAGAACCGATAATTTTAGGCGTATTTTAGCTGCCTGATGTGTAAAGCAGCCAAGTCAATAAAATTTAGTTGGTGGAGAATATAATGTATAGATTAGAAAAAGGGTTGGAATATTTTTTTAACACAGAATTAGAGTTGGGATTAGGTTGCACGGTGTTAAAAAGTCAAGAGAGGTTAAAAACAACATTGACTCTGTTAATTTTGATCATAGACTCTCAATGCTTTGAAAATGTATTTTTTTTTTATTTAATGTGAATTTTCACGCAACAATTTTCAACATACCATAATAAATTTTACAAAATTAATTCATATTATTCCTTTAAGGGTATGTGTGTGTGAACTAACGTAAAACATTTCAAAATGGTTGTAATTTTACGGTAATTAATTAATCTCCATAGTGGGTGTTAACCAAATTGTTTATGTAAAGTTGTTAAAGCCTACCAAATGAATGAATATAGTTCCAGGATTATCTCATAATTAGTTGTGCGTTAAATAAAATTAATTAACATTGAATAGTACTCTATAAATAAAGTTATTATATTATTTGCCATCACATTCCTTCCATACACATACCCCTACATAATAAAATATTATATTGAGTAAATTTTGTAATATATATATATATATATATATGGTTGAAAGATGGAAAGTTGGTTGGTTGGAGGAAGGGGGGAAAGTAATTTAGAGAAAAAGAATTTAGAAAATTGAGGGAATTGAATTACCCACTTAATACTTTAAAAATGTGTGTCTCTCCCACGTGCATGCCACCTGCCTCTCCAAATTTGTCAAATATTGGTATAACACCACAACCCAATTTGCAATTTATATTTGTTCCAAATAAAATAAAATAAGAATATGTTGTGGTATAATATTAAATAAGTTTCCAAATATGAAGATTTTTTATACTATATCTTACAACATTCCATATTCCACATTTCGTCTCCTTAAAGTTATAAAACAAGGTTTCTCCTCTGTTGGTTTTGCAAATATTCTGTTTTTGGCGTCCGGGGTAACCTCATTATTTATTTATTATTTACTTTAATCCATGCAACCAAACCCCATTACAGCTTCGTTTTGTTTATTTAAGGTTTAATTTGTATAAATGTTTTGATGAAGTTCATACACGTCGTCGTTGTTCGAAACTGCTACGCCAAAAGGAACAAATGGAGAAGAGAGGCAAGGCAAGAAGGCAGCACCCATACTGGACATGGAAACTTGGGTTCTCAGCAATGCCGCTCCTTTTCTTATTCTTCAGTTTAACCCTCGCCCACAACAATTCCTCCCAACGGTTACGTTCTTCTTCTTCTTCTTCTTCTTCTTTGATTTTTGGTTGTTGTTTTGATTTTGATTTTGATTTTGATTTTGATTTTGATTTTGATTAGTTGTAATCAATTGCAGAAGAATGGTAAGAAAGTTGGTGAAGAACAATGAATCTATGCTGTCGCGCGATGTAACGTTAGAATGGGAGAATCGTGGACAGGTGATTATGTACTAACCAAATTCTTCTTTTTACGCCAATATATTTTATACCTTATTTGACGCTAAATAAATTTCAAAATAAGGGAAGTAATTATTTTTTGGTTTCAGGTAGTAATGGACAATGGGTTAGTTCGAATCACTTTATCCAGACCAGAAGGCAACGTTATTGCCCTAAAATACAATGCTCTTGATAACCTACTTGAAATTCGCAACCCACAATATAACAGAGGGTAATTCTCTCCATTTTCTTATATATATTTTTTAATTTATTCACTCTTAAATTAACTAGACATTTATTATAATTTAAATTCTTTTAAAAAATTGAAACTACCCATGAGTTCCGGCCTCTATTAAAAAGTAGAACAAAACATTGTTTACAATCATGTTTAAACTTCTTTCCATAAACATACGGTTTAAAAAATCTTGAGAAAATTCGAAAGGAAAAGTCTAAAAAGAACAATATCTACTCGTAGTGAACTTGGACGGTTATAAATGATATGGATTGTGGCTTAGGTTGTTACAAATGTGGTATGGATTGTGAGATCTCACATTAGTATGGATTATGACCGACACGTCTTAAAAACTTTAAGGGAACCATGGAAAGGGAAAGCCTGAAGACAATTGCTAGAAGTGGGTTTAGGTTGTTACACCAACTAACTCGTTTATTTAATATAATTATTTATATGAGAAATTATAATTAACCTTTTTAATGTTATTATGGTTGACATGTTGTGTAGATATTGGGACGTGGTTTGGAACCGCCCAAATAGAGGTAGTGCCACTGACAGGTAACTACTGAATTTATATATTATATATATTGAATTATATTCATTTTTTTACATTATTGGTTATAGTTTAAAAAAAAAACAATGAAAATATTCTATAATTTCACTTTTAATGATGCCTTTACAGAGTAAGGGCGACGAATTTCAAAGTGATTACGGCCACCGCCGACCAAATAGAGCTTTCATTCACCAAAACATGGAATCCTAATTCCCACTCTTCCTGCCCTTTGAACATAGACAAAAGGTGCTCCTCTCTCCTTGTTTCTAAAATAATTATGAACTTTTTTTTTTCCAAGTTAAATGAATGATATTAGTTAAGTTACAATTTTTAGGTATATTCTCCGACGGGGCGATTCTGGGTTCTATGCATATGCCATATTTGAACGCCTTGATGGATGGCCTCAAATTGACGTTGATCAGATTCGAATTGTCTTCAAAATTCTAGGGAAAAAGTTAGTGTTGTGCTGTTAAATTTTCTCCTTCTAATTTGAAATATAATTTATATTTATGCTTTGCTGTATAATCAACGGTCAGATTTCATTACATGGTGGTATCGGACGACAGGCAGAGGATCATGCCAACGGCAAGGGACCGTGAGACCGGGCATCCTCTGGCTTATCGGGAGGCGGTTCTCTTAACCCAACCCATCAATTCTAAACTCAAAGGGGAGGTGGGAATAATTAAATTTTGTGAAGTATAATTTAGGATAATAATGTGTGATTTTAATTGAGGGAATGATTGGGTGTGGTGCAGGTGGACGATAAGTACCAGTACTCCCTAGAGAATATGGAGAATAAGGTTCATGGATGGGAGTCGATGAACCCACACGTGGGGTTCTGGATGATCACGCCCAGTGATGAGTTCCGCACGGCGGGGCCCGTCAAGCAAGATCTTACTTCCCACGTTGGCCCCACCACCCTCTCCGTAAGCCCTCCCTACACACCCGTTTCCTAA